AGGGTATCAAATTCCTCATGTTTCCCATGAATGCCTATGCCAGTTATTATAAGGACTAAACAAGCACATATATAAAGCCATAGCACAGTGTCTGGCACAGAGTAGGCACTTGGTACACACTAGTTCCTCATCCCTCCTAATATTCCCACACTAGACATGTATTTTTCAATCACTTTTAAAGACAGCCCTCTCCATAGCATAGCATAAAGTAATTCAAATTTGAAATGTGTAAGCAACAAAAGCAACCATGCAGAGAAGTTGCCCACGAGACAAATGTTGGAGTAGTAGAGGTAAAATAAGGAAAGGAAGGAAATCAGCCAGGACAATGAGAAATCACCATTTCTTCCTCCTACACATTCATTGACTAGTTTGTTACCACTGATAATGTTAGACAAGTGATCAAACTGTATTTCAAAATTTAGGATGGCAAAAAGTTTCCTGAAAGTCTTGATCCACCACTAGGAATTTTGATTTTTTTTGGTAAGCATTCCAACCACAAACCTAAGGAAGAGTTGTAGCATCCCTTCATCTTTACCAGGAGATCATGAGCCACCTCTGCTACCTATGGCATGTCAAGCTATTCCAAGGGTTTCCACACCAGTCCAGATATGGGGAGATTTTGGAAGTGTACATCAAGCACAACAGTAACACAATATGGGGAAAATGAGAGTTCTATTGTCCAGTGATCACCCAGAGAACCCTGAACATGGACATAGTACAAAATAGCAGCTGACCATCATAGTATGGTGAAAGAAAATTACTAGGTTATCAGTTGTTAATATATTCCTTTCTTTCGCAGCCTTTACCCAAGAACAAAGTATCTTCCTCATCAAGAAGGATAAATGCAACAAGCTACTAATTACATGATAAGCCTGGCCCTGCCCTAGACTAATGTTCCCATTGGTGTCTCTACCAGGAGTGCCTTCAACATATCAAGACAAATGGCTTTTAAAAATGTCTGGTGCCAAAGCCGGTTTGCTAAGTGAATAGAGCGTCAGCCTGTGGACTCAAGGGTCCTGGGTTCGATTCCATTCAAGGGCATGTAACTTGATTGCGGGCAAGTCCCCGGTAGGGGGTGTGCAAGAGGAGGCTGATTGATGTTTCTCTCTCATCGATGTTTCTGACTTTCTGTCCCTCTCCCTTCCTCTCTATATAAAAAATCAATAAAATATATTAATAAATAAAAACGTCTGGCAATGTTGACAAAGACTTTTTAACTGCATACTAAAAAATATACTGCTTACATCTAATAATAAATTCACATCTACATAACACTCCTTGTTAACAAGAGATGGTATTTACCTTAAAGGTATAAGACCACTAATTGAGAAGGACTGAAATTATAATAGGAGGGGTAATCAAGGATGCTAAATCTTATAATAGTGTTAAGTATGGAGTAAATATTGAATTCTAAGGATGTATCCTCTGAATAAAGCTCATTTTTTCTAATCCATCCAACTATAATATATAAAACTCATTTGGTTGTTCCTTTTTCTCAAGATTGGATGAGGCATCTATTATCCTTTGACCTCAAAACTACTCTCTGGAAAAAATGGAAATCACAACTTCTTGCACTACCCTTGATCTTCCCTTCACTCTCTTGCTTTGTTCTCATTGTAATATTCCATTGCCATCTTCCTTCTCATGGCTCATCGCTCTTCACATATTCTTGATTTTGCATTTTATCATTAACTCTGCCTAACATCCCATTCCCATTTACTTTCCCATGGCTTATCACTCTTCACATGTTCTTTTTAAAAATATATTTTATTGATTTTTTTACAGCGAGGAAGGGAGAGAGATAGAGAGTTAGAAACATCGATGAGAAAGAAACATCAATCAGCTGCCTCCTGCACACCTCCCACTGGGGATGTGCCCACAACCCCAGTTCCTGTCAATGTGCCCTTGACAGGAATCGAACCTGAGATCTTTCAGTCCACAGGCCGACACTCAATGCACTTAGCCAAAAATGGTTTTGGCAACATGTTTTTGATTTTGTATGTTCTCATTACCTCTGGAATCTTGCTCTATTTACCCCATTTCTCCCTCCTATACCTTCTTCACTCTTTCCTTCTTCATTGTCATTGGTTCCTTCACATCAAACTGCAAAAATGTTCAAGTTATTTCACTTTAAAAAAATCTTCCTTCCATATTTCTCCCCTTGCAATCTAATTTGCTTCCTTTTTTCCTCCCTCAATACAAAAACTCTCTACAAGATCAAATCTACATTCACTTCTTCTCTTCCTTTATTTTACTACATCCCATTTACTCTCCAAACCCTTACAGTTTGGCTTCCCACAATAACCACCAACATTAACAAATAAAACAACTCTCCCATCCTAATTGATTTGGCTCAGTGGATAGAGCACAGCTTTGGCTTGTGGACTGAATGGGGCCCTGGGTTCGAGTCTAATCAAGGGCAGGTTCCTGGGTTGTGGGCTCGATCCCCAGTAGGGGGCATGGAGGAGGCAGTCAATCAATAATTCTTGCTCATCATTGATGTTTCTATCTCTCTCCCTCTCCCTTCCTCTCTGAAAGGAATAAAAAATATATTAAAGGTCACTAATTATCTCTTAAATGCCAAATCCAACAGCCACTTTTCAGTCCTGACCTTTCCTGACCTCTCTGATATGTGTAACTAGCAAATCTTTCCTCTATAAACCTTTTATTACTTTATTTCTTTTAAATGATTCTCTCCAAGTTCTCTTTCTATCTTTCTTATTATTCACTCCTTTTTAGCTTACTTTCCTTGCCTCAGTTTTTACCACCTATAGGGTGTCCCAAAAAATGTTTACACATACTTTGAATAATTATAAAGGCAGTGTTTGTTAAAACAAATTTCATTTTGAAAATTGAGCTATCAGTTGTATATATATATATATATATATATATATATATATATATATATATAGCACCCCCTGTATTTTATCCCTTAAATGTTGCTAATTCCCAAGACTCTTTTTTTGTCCTTCTTACACAAGTAATCTTACTCAGTGATAATATTAATTCTCACGGCTTCTATTGCCACCTACATGATGTCACCTAAATCTCCCTTAATTTTTTAATTTTTTTTAATTTTATTTTTTTTTAATTTAGATTACTTTTATTTATTTTGGCTTTCCTAAATAACTCAGTTTACCTTTTTGTGAGTTTTCTTTGGACAGTATCAAGGACTTAGAAATGATAAAGTCAAACTCTTTTTAGCTCCATATCCATGTATCCAATGTCTACTGGATATCCCTCCCTAATACTCAAGTGGCATCTCAAACACAAATTACTCAAAACAGAATTAATTATGTTTTTCTCTACAGACACCAACCCTATTGTTCTCCTGAACAACAGATTAATAGCACCATCTTCTGAAATTAAACAGATGGGGGGGGGGGGAAATCATTCATCTATCACACTGCCCACATCCAAACAGATTCCCAGACCCATCATTTGAACTTCCTTATTCTACCTTAAATGCTGCCTGCCATGAACTCTCCTTAGCCAATTACAATAGCTTCTTTATCTGTCTCTAGTTTACCTTCCCATTCTCCACATTTTCAACATTGTCTTTTAAAATTCTTTGTCCCAGACATACCCTGATTTGAAAACTTGCAATAACTTCTCTTTATGTAGAGAATCATGCCAAACTCCTTCGTATGAAGTACAATGTCTTCATTAATCCTTCCCTTATCTATCTCTCCAGCAGTTACCATGAAGTCATGCCCTCATTCATTCATTCATTCATGATGATCTCTGCCACTGGATAATAAATTCCTTGAAGGCAGGGATAATGCCTTATTTCCCTTTGTACACTAGTCTAAAACATGACTAGCAAATAACGGGCCTTCAATAAATGTTGGTTAAACTAATCATATCTCTAAGTACACACTTTTAAGGTAGTATACATATAAATCAATTGAGATAGAAAATGCTTTTTAAAGAATTATATTAACAAATTAAAAACTAATAGTTTAAGTGACTTAAGTCTCTTTGTCAGAATTAACCAAACTTGAAAGAAACATGAAGGTCTCAATCAATAGTTACTTACTTATTCTGAATAAGGCATCAAGAATCTGGTGTTACTAGTCATCAATCCAAATAGCGTACACTCTACCCTAAAGTAGTATTTGTGCCTATGCAGTCCTCATTAAGAACTTCCCTTTTCCAGAAGTCACTGTCCCCTAAATGGTACTCTTTTAAAATCACAACTGTTGAAAATATTCTATATTTTTGTTTTTTACCTCTTACATCATCTCTATTTTTTTACAGAAAATTATACTGCTGCTAAATTTCAATAAAAATCAACTAGCTATCAGCAATTTAAAAAAGGTCCTTTCCCCAATCTCCACCCTAAATAGAAAGTTCAGAGGCAGTCATTGTAAAGTCATTACTTAGACATAGCAGTGTAATCATTATTGGAGATACATACTAGCCACAATACTACTAGAAAATCAATCAAGGTACACTAATCCCTCTGGTTGAGGGACTTTCTCCAAAAACATGATTATTAACCACCAGGAAAAATAATTGGTTTTTCTCTTTCCTCCAGAACAGTAATTTTCAAAGACCACTCAAACTGGTGAACAGCTACTAACAACCTAAAATCGAAAAATAAAGCAGTGGTCTTGTAATGGACAGCATTTATTGGGAGAAGAAATAGGCATATCCATTGAGAGTCTTCACGGACTGCCTTTCTGATAATCAAAGTGGAAGAAAGTGTCAAAGGGGCCTTCCTTGCTGTAGGAACTGTTGTGCAGTAAAGATCTCTTTGGAGACAGGTAGTCTCACAAGTCTCTTTCAAAGTTACTATGCTTACCAAAGAAGATGGAATCTGTCTTGGAAACTTCCTTATAAACTTGTAATTGCCTCACATACAGTATATGTATATACTTCATATGTAAAATATATTCTGGCAATGACTTGGGTGCTTTAAAAATAGATTAAATGTTGATTAATGTGTTAAAAAAAAAGCAACAAGCAATCATTTTCCATAAAGATAAATTACATACATATTCAGCTACCTTGTAGGGCTCCCCAAAAAGATCAAAGCCTGAAGAAAAGAGATCATCTTCTTGCTGGACTTCTTGATTCCTCCGTTCCCATTCCCTTTTTTTAAGTGCACTACGGTCTTGTTCATAGTGACTAAAAAAAAATAAAAGGAGAAATTGGTTAGGCAAGTAAGTCATTGAACTCTCCCTTGTTATCACTAAGAAAAAGGAAATACAAGTCAAGGCTACCAAACTGATATTACATAGAAAGCAAATAATCTTTTTTCTTTACTCACATTAGCTTTTTGATCCTGACCAGTTATTCAGAATACAGAAAAAAAAACAGAACATCGCTTATTAGAAATTATATTTATGACCATATAAGCATGGTAGAATCCTTGTCCCTTATCCTTGCTTCATTACAACAGGCAATTATAGACTTCCCAAAAATCAGTGCTCTGTGTAGAAAGGTACTGAAGGTTACATTGTGTTACGAACTGCTTAGGGCTCAGAATTCACAGATGTCACAAAACCCTAAGGGAAAGAAATTGACAAATACATTGTTGTAGTAGATAAACTGGAATTCTCTCCTGAGGAAATCACAGGAGAACTTAAGCACATTTTTGGAAGTCCATAACAAACCAAATCACTCAATCAGTTCCACTCCTTATTGTCTCCCCATAGTCTGCTTTTTGGATGACTGAAAGCCTTTTGGGGAACCTTTTCAATAAGAAAGGGGTCTAGTTTTAACAGCAAACTTCTAACAATAAAAATAATGTGTCAGCCAAAACCAGTTTGGCTCAATGGATAGAGTTTGGGCCTGTGGACTGAAAGGTCCCAGGTTTGATTCCGGTCAAGGGCATGTACCTTGCTTGTGGGCACATCCCCAGTAAGGGGTGTGCAAGAGGCAGCTGATCAATGATTCTCTCTCATTGATGTTTCTAACTCTCTATCCTTCACTCTTCCTCTCTGTAAAAAAATCAATAAAATATATTTTTTTAAAAATGTGTCAAAAGCCTTGAATAACTTTAACACAAAAAATGTTTTATAAATACATGTAATTCTGTGAAGTTCATCACATTTTAGGCTTTTTCATTGGAGGAGCAGTAGAAAAGTTTCCAGACAATATCTAATATATATTCTGGGTCTTTGGATTTTATAGAATGCAATGCTTCCTTACTAAAAAAATAATTTTCTTTATCATGTAAGGCTGTTAATATCTATCTATATAAAAGCCTAATATGCAAAGTTCCCCTTGGGAGCTCTATCAACTAGAAGTCCAATCACTCACTATGACATGTGCTGACCACCAGAGGCAGTGTGGAACAAAGGAAGGCCCCAGCTGGCAGCCAGCAACTGGCAGCCAAGGGAAGGCCCTGGCTGGCACGCTGCAGCCACTAGGGACCATACCCACACACAAATTTAATGCATTGGGCCTCTAGTTAAACTATAATATTTAAGTCTTACAGTATTGGTTTTTATTTTGTTCATTGGGTTCCCATTCCCCCACCTTCCTGCTTTTGATTGTAAACTTACCCAAAGTGGGTACATATATGCTAGCCAAATTTAAATTATATGCCTAGTATGTACTCTATACATGTTGCTTTCCTTCTACATGTCAATACTGCAATGTTATGACTTAATTAGATAATCAACATACAAATGAACAGCTAAGGAAATTATGAGATATACTGATATAAAAATACAATCTACAAGGTTTTTTTTGTTTTTTTAAATTTTTAAAAAATAAATCTTTATTGTTCATATTATTACAAAAGTTACTCATTTTTTCCCCTCTACCAGGTTCCCATCCCACCCTCTGCCCTTTCCCCACCCCCCACTGTCCTCATCCATAGGTGCATAGTTTATGTTCAGTCTCTTCCCGCACCCCCCACTCCTCTTTCCCCTGAGAATTGTCAGTCTACTCTCCTTCCATACCTCTGATTCTATTATATTCAATAGTTAATGTTGTTCACCAGATTTTTTAATTCCTTTGGTTTTTAGATTCATGTGTTGATAGTTAAATATTTGTTGTTCATAATTTTTATCTTTATTTTCTTCCTCTTCCTAAAGAACCCCCTTCAGCAATTCATATAATTCTGGTTTGGTGGTGATGAACTCCTTTAGCTTTTTCTTTATTTGTGAAGCTCTTTATCTGGCCTTCGATTCTGAGTTCAGCTGTAGGTTCTTGTTATTCATCACCTTGAATATTTCTTGCCATTCTCGTCTGGCCTGCATGGTTTCTGTTGAGAAATCAGCTGACAATCATATGGGTGCTCCTTTATAGATAACTACCTGCTTTTCTCTTGCTGCTTTTAATATTATCTATTTGTCTTTTGCTCTTGTAATTTTAATTATGATTTGTCTTGGTGTGGTCCTCTTTGGATTCCTTTTGTTTGGAGTTCTGTGCGCTTCCTGGACTTGTAAGTCTAATTCTTTCACCAGGTGGGGGAAGTTTTCTGTCACTATTTCTTTCAGTATGTTTTCGATATCTTGCTCTCTCTCATCTTCTGGGACCCCCATAATTCTGATGTTGCTTCGTTTGAAGTTGTCCCAGAGGTTTCTTACACTATCTTCAACTTTCTGGATTCTCTTGTCTTCTTGCTTCTGCAGAGGAGTGTCCTCTGGCTCTTTGTGTTCCAAATCTTTGACTTGATTCTTGCAATTTTCCATTCTGTTTTTAGGACTTTGTATATATATATATTTTTTTATTTCAGAGAATGTATTCTTTATTTCTAGTTGATCCTTTATTATTTCTAGTTGATCCCTTTTCATATCTTCATAGGTCCTGTTTATTTTATCGGCTTTTTCTAGGAGATTCTTTTTTTCAATATATTTTATTGATTTTGTACAGAGAGGAAAAGAGACAGAGAGTTAGAAACATCGATGAGAGAGAGTCATCGATCAGCTGCCTCTTGCACACCCCCTACTGGGGATACGCCCGCAACCAAGGTATATGCCCTTGACCGGAATCAAACCCGAGTCCCTTCAGTCCCCAAGCTGACGCTCTATCCATTGAGCCAAACCGGTTTAGGCATTTCTAGGAGATTCTTGAAAACCTTATAAGTGTGGTTTTGAACTCTATATCCAGTCACTTTTTATCCTCCATTTTTTTCGTCTGTGATCTATTTCCTTGTCTCTTCATTTTCGCTGCTTCCCTGAGTTGGTAGGGTGGGAGGATCAGCTGTATCTATGCCAGGAGACAGCCTTATTCGACTAGACTTGGAAAACTGCAAGATCCTCTGTGCTCAGCTTGGATGGGGAGGAGTTTCAGGGTGGTGTCTACAGCCTTGGCTTCTGGTTAGCCCCACCCTATGAGGTTCCTGAGTCTCAGTGTTCCTCAAGTGTCCTTTGGTACTCGCTGCAAGCACCTCTGAGATAAAGATGCCCTAGAGTTTTGTCCGCTACCAGACAGTCTAGTCTCTCCCGCAATGAGCCCGCAACTGGGGTTCAGTGCAGTTGGAAGTGGGGTTAAGAACAGTCTGGAGCTTATGTCTCCTTACAGCTAGGGCAATCCAGTGGCTCAATCAACAGTCTGTCCTCTGTGTGAAATGTGCGCAACTCGGGGGCTCTGCCTCTCTCCGCTCCCCTGAGCTTCTGCCTTACAGCCCAGATTCCCTCTGTATGTGTCTGGGTCCCCAGGGTCTCGCTCAGAACTGTGGTTCAGTGCTGTCAGAACTGGGGTTCAGCACAGTCCGGAGCTTTTATCTCCTTCCCTCTAGGGAACGCCAGCCAGGCACTCAGCCTCCCCCTCCTCTCTGGCTCCGTCCTCTCCACGCACGCAACGTGTCTCCGTACCTTAGGTTTTTACAACTCCTCTGATTTTCCTTCTGATAGAATTTCCAGTCAGTCAACTTTCCTGTAGTTCTGGATAATGTCCACTTTATATTTTAGTTGTATTTTTTGAAATTGTTGTGTGAGGCTGCAGTTAGGTGGTTACCTATGCCACCATGTTGGTTTCTCCTGGACAATGTCCCAATCTATTAGTTTTGAATGCAGCCCCAAACTTAATGCCCATCACTGGTAAGCTAGTTTGTCTGTGAGTATCATAGCTTCAATTTACAAATTAAGAGCCCAAGAACATGAAATATCTATGGCAGCTTAACTAGATATTGCTATACATGGAAAATAAGATGCCAATACACGTAATCATCATCAGCCTTTCTCCACAGGAATCCTTGAACTGACGATTTTAAAGTGATTTTGATAGTCTCATCTACTTGATATAAACAACATTTTATTTCTTTGTTTTTAAAATAATGGCAACTTTTATAGGATGTTTTCATAATACAAAGAAAGTCAGATACATAAGAGTTCACTTGGCCACTCATGAGTGTGCTCAACAAATGTTACCCCTGTCTAAAAAAAACAAAACAAAACAAAAAAACAAAACAAAGAACATACAGATCTCTACCCAAAGCCCAGGCTTTACATCTGGGCCCTGCTCAGAAAGATGCCAAGTCCAAATACTTGGAAGCTAGTCTCCCTTTACATTTGCTAGCATCATCTCACATTTCCATTCACAAGTTGAGTTCAGAACCCAAACAGTTACCACGTGTTGCAATTTCTTTGTCTTAGAGATTGATGTAGAATTAACCAGGCATAGTAATGTTTTCAGTCCATGAAGTGTGGTACATGAGATTCAACCTCATACCATACATTGGCTGTGAGTAACCCAAGCTCATAATCAATTTGTCCAACTGTAAGCAAGATAGGATGTCAGGGGTCAAGGTGGAGGGAACAAATTAAAGCAGTATTTAGTCAGCGTGTGAGGAGGGTTTGTTACAAAGGAGAAGGACACAATTTGTTTGCCTTCCAGAGCAGATGATTCTCAATACACAGATAATCACAGGTAAGAGCCAAAATCTGTTGCTTCTGAAAAATGTGAGCAAGATACCAGTTTTCTAGCTATCTGATCATTCCATGCACCAATAGCCCACAATGATGGGCCCATATATCATATTTGATTCTCCCATGAAGAGAACTGAAGCACATTTGTTCCTTAGCTTTGCAAACTACCTTCTTTCTCCTGAGGCAAAGATATAATTAAAACTCTAAAAGAAAAAAAAAGAAGAAGAAATGGAAACATGCTTCAACTTACAGGATAACCCTTCAAGTGGCTAACAGTCAAGGAACATTCTGTGATTCCTATCT